AAGTAGTGAATGAAGTCTGGGGTATTGTGAGTAATAGTATTCTTACATAATTGAAGGCTCTTGCCGGGCATGTGCCGGTGTTGGTGCAATAACTGTCGTGGATGCTATAAAACGGAAAAGGGCAGTTATACCATTATCCAAACAACAGGTGATCGATTGCGTTCTTGAAAAATATCCAAATCCCGAGCTTGAGAAAACGTTGAAGGAAAATGAATGCCCACTGGCTAACGCTTTTATGGTATACCAATTTGCTATGGATTACGGCATTGTGGAAGAGTATAAGTATCCCTACACAATGGAAAGAGGTGTTTGCAAGTGTGGTGGTGATAGAGTTAGGGTAAACTCTACTAGTACAGTTTTTTGCTCATCTTCTTGTTTTATTATTTTATTGTTGTGTTGAAAGTAAGAAACCTTTTTATGCAGACTATCAAAATTGATGGATACAAAGAGTTGGACCTCGAAAAGGTTTCTAAGCGACGCATTAGAAAACAGCCAATAACTTGTAATATCATTGCCTATCCAAGTATACACGAACACAAGCACAAAGGAAAGGTTTGTATTTATTTTTTTCCTTTAACTTATTATTTGTATATATATATTATAACTTTCTTAGTTTTAAACTTAGGTTAACTTACAAACCAACGGCGTATGAAATTGCAAACAAATCGCTATATGAGGCTCACGGTCACGTAGTACTCAACGTAGGTTACGGTAAAGATAAAAATGGGGACGAGTTCTATTCCATACAAAACAGCTGGGGTGAAAAGTGGGGACACGAGGGATTCGCACATAGCCTTGCATCAAATCTGGCCTATCCTATTATTAAAGTAACTTAAAGATGTTTGTTTTTATCGAGAAAGCACACAAGTTATTTTTGTTGCACATTCAAAAGTTATCTTTATGTTACCATACTTGAATCATAATTACAAACTTGTGTACAAGAACTGAAAAGTTATAAATTAAATGTGTATCCGTCCTATATATGCAAAGGCCCGTTGACGGGTCTAACATCAAAGAATCATCATTTTCAAAAAAATTGGTGCAACACTTCCAATTGAAACTTCACACACCCTAGGGTCATGCTCCTCTGCGAAATATATTCTCTATTAACGTCTCTCTTGGGGATTGCATCATTAGAACTGATACTGAGAGCAGTGTCTCAGACCAGAACTGGCAAACCATACTCAAGATCCAAATGACAAACTTGACAAACATTCTTCAACTTGCTGCATAAGGGTCGTGTGCATATCTTGCACTCCTTGTCATAATCTGCTTGTCTGAAAGGAACAATGACAAGATCAAAAGGTTCAAAACTTAAGCATGGAAAAGTAAATGTAACTTCACCACGTCATAAAACTCAGATCAATCTCTATGCCTTGTACGAAGAGAACTGACATTTTGACAACAGGAATGGCAAGTAGAAGCAATAAAGCAGGATACAGTTGTGTATTTAGGGAAGATGTCATCAGTTAACTGTTAACGACATGTAAAATGAATATAGAAACTATTTTGTAAAGAACGTAATGCAAGCAAGGGTATAACCTAATCAATAATCAGCAAACAAGGACTAAAAAGAAAGTAATAAGCTAACCGCCTTTTCCTTTATTGAAAAAAGACAATTTATTGTATCCTACGACTCAAAGAAAATACTAAACTTGTTTTCTTCATTAAATATAACAGGCCAGATCCATCACACGTTATAATTACTTCACTAAGAAGCTGAGGCCGTGAGGCGTATGAGATATAAAAGAATGGCGCTCTAACCTTTGATGTTTGATTCCTTAGAAAAACAAAACTACACCTTTTAGTTCCTTATTGAATAAAGCGGCCCTGTTTATTTTAGTTTTTACCAAGTAATGCAAATCCTGATTGCAGAGAAACAGATGATTTATCTACTTTCCTGATTCCTGAGATACCAACCCCACTATACAGAAACAAGCTTTTGGATATTTTATCAGTGCAAGAGTTCTAAATACAGGGGTTGCCATGCCAATGTGCAACAGACTCAACGAATTCAATTTTTAAACAGCTCAGCAAATATTAAGTTTCTTTTTTTGAGACAAGGGTAACTGTGTATTCACAAAAGTCTCATCATCAAATAATGATGAGCATAGGTCACTTACAATCTCATCAGAGCATAAAAAAACCTACCCCTAGGGAGATTACAAATTGCCTATGAAATCAACAAAAAAAAACAATATCCCCCCTCATATCCTGTTTACCCCAAAAGTATAAAAGACTAAGGCTATTCATCCTTATCTTCTCGATGTTGTTACTCTTGTCCTTAAAACATCTAGCATTCCTTTCTTTCCATAAAGCCCACCAAATGCAAGTTGGTATTTACTCCCACCAGTCTTCGGTAGAGTTTCTTCTTCCTATCTCCTTCCAGCTGTCTAGCATACCCTTAGTGGTATGTGGAGTTTCCCAGCATACACCAAGGATGCAGAAAAACATGTTCCATAGGTTGGTATCTACCTTGTAGTGGAGGAACAAGTGTCCATTGACTTCAGCATCTTGATCACACATAAAACATCTTGAGAAAATCTGTCTTCCTTTTTTCTGAAGCACTTCATGTGTTAGACATGCCCTTCTACAAACCAACCAAGCAAAAGATGATACCATTAGAGGTATTTTTATCTTCCAAATTAGTTACCAAGGCCATATTCTATTTCTTCTTTGACCAGCATTGCTACTCTACTTAACTGTGAACACTCCTTTCCTCTGTAATTTCCATATAGGCTTGTCAGGCTCATTGGAGGTGCCTGGGAAGGTATTTAGGATCAAATAGAGCAGTGATTCTCTCAAGTTGGTATGTATGATGTATGGTGGGTGCACGTAACAAGTTAGAATCTGACTTCTGGACAAGTCTAGTATTTACGTGGAGAAGGGTAAATAGGCATACCACTATCCACCTACTGTCGAAGTATAATTTCTGTGGTAATAAGAATAAATTCATCAACTTCTTTTTCAAACATTAGTTTGTGTTAACCAAAGTGAGGCTTTTTTTCTTTAATATTTTTGCCACCTTGCTAAAGCAGTTAATGAGAACATAGCAACGACCAAAAGGTCTCAAATTATGTCCAACTTTATGCTAGAGTTCTCTCTGCTAGCATGCTGTTTCGTTTAATTTGTTGGTATAAATACTGTAAACACATTTCAATGCATGGGAGGGAAAATTAAAATAAGAAAAAGGTGTGACCTTTATAAACCAAAATTAACCAACTTTGATGGAAAAAGCTCAAACAATTAGGAGAAAATTTGACACAAAATCAGTTCCTAAATTCTATAAACACACAACCACTCAATTCTAGTTCAAAAACACCATAAACATAAACACCAAATCATGAAATTATTTATATAATACAAATTATCAAACAAAAGTATGAGTAAGCAATAAGAAATACTATAAACAGCCTGGAGATATTGAAAGTTTGACACCAGGAGATTAAATGTCAAAAGGGTCATATGAGATTTAAGAAAACAAAAAAATAATTCAAATTAACAGGATAAAGATTCAGTTGCACATACCCATAGTAACGGTCCTTAATGTTTGGCTGTGACAACTCCCCAGTCTCTGGCATTTCGTGCCTATAAGGACACTCGCATTGACCACGTATATAGAAACTGCAAACATGTGCCTGATTTCTCTTGTAGTATGGAGTGGTTCTTTGGAGCTTCAATGTCATTTGCACGGACTTTTCCATATGAAGATTCATAATCAATCCCTGCTCTGGCCTGTTCAGAAAGAAAGCATAGGTCAACAGGAGAATATAGAAAAGCAAAGTGATTAACATACAACAGTTTTGTCTGAAGCGAATCTTTTATGTTCACTTTCTATCAAAGGTTCTCATTTTGCCTAGAAGCCTGGTAATTTTTGATAGTATTTTTCTAGATAAGGTAACATTTCTTTACCACTATCAAATATTTTATAGTAATATTCTTCGAATTCACAAGTGTATTCTTGAATATAACTCATTTTACAACTTTGCAATTTTTCTAATTGCTCTTTGGCGATTGTTCTTGTCTGTTCTTTGTTGTCTTTTATAGTTCCTTGACCTCCAAAGAATTCGTTAGCTATGTATTGCTTTAGATTTATTATTCCTTCTTGGGTCGAATTTTTTAGTCCTTCTATGGTATCATTTTTAATTATTTTTTCTGCATCCTCAGTTAATCCTGAAAACCAGTCATTTACTTTTCAAATAAAAGTGTTTATCATAATGATATATTTTTCTTCATCTGTATAATTTCCTTTTCCTAATAGGAAATAAAGGAGCATATTTTGAGACCATAAATCTAGGCTATTTTCTGGATCTCTTTTACATTCGAGGTCTAGAAATTGAGCTCCGATATCTCCTGTTAGGAGTCTGTTCGGCATAAATTTTGATTTATCACTATTGTGATAATGTTTTATAAAATCATTTTCTTTTTTTGCTTTGTTTGCAAAGTTTTTATCTTCCTTTTCTGGCTCTTGCCATTCTTCTTTCATTGAAGAAGATGCTTCAAATTTTCCTTGGGGTCCACCTGTTTCCCCTTTATTCATAAATACTTTTAATTCTTGTTCTGAAAGATTTAAATCTTCCATTGCATAAACAAGTTCATCAAGTTCATTCATCTTTTTGTTCTGTTGGTTCAGAATTAGTTTCTGTTATTTCTGGATTATATAAATTTTCTTCTTCTATTTTCTGTTTTTCCAGGAATTTTTGGATTAATAATTCATCCTTACTTCCTTTTTGATAAGTATTTCTACTTGCTAATTTTTTTGATAGTAATTCTTTAACATATTTTTGACTAACATTTTTGTCAAATTGTTCTGTTTTTTCAATTATATGTGTAATTCTTCCTGGAAGATTTTCTTTAGTATAATTGATTTCTATTTCTATCATTTTTAACCGTAAGGTAATTTGTTTGTTACTCTCAATGAGATCTTTTAGCAATTCTGAGATTTCTCTTAAGCTCATTTTTATTCTGAGAAGTAATAGTCAGAAGTATCAAAGAAATTATAATTTATTATATTATATCTTTCTTCTTTTTTTTTATTTTGTAAAGTAATTATTTTTACTATTTTTCTTTTTAGATTTTCATCCAAGTCTTTTATTACTTGTAATATCGTTACAAGAGTATCTATATCTATGTACCATATAGGTTTTACAGATGTAAAGTCTGTGTCCATAATTTTTTTTGTTGTACTTGGCTTTGATACCAATATTTTCAGCTGCTTAATTAAACAGGGTTTTGCGAATATTTTACTTTACTATGCAGACTATGCAGTAAATATTATATAATTTTTTAAAATTTATATAGAAAATAATAGGGTTTCATAAGGATGACTAGCACTTGAAAATATTTTCTAAAGCAATATTTTCAGAGATGTCAAAAGCCAAAAGCTCTTCAAAATCAGAGATGAGTCCATTGATGTCAAAAAGCCAAAAGCTCTTCAAAATCAGAGATGAGCTATCAAAACTGTCTGAACAATCTCGGATGTTACAATCTGAATTAAATCAGCTTAGCACTACTCAAGCTGAAAGCATGAGAGAATTTTTACTCTTATGTGAACATTTGGACACACGTCCATCACAGAATTCAAATCTGAAAGGGAATATTAATCCCAACAAAGTGGCAGGAGATGTCCCACTAGCACCTAGTGCCAAAAACATCTCAATGGTAAGCACGGATATGCTAGTTCTAGCATCGAAAGATGAGGAAAAAAGCCGAGCAAACGAAGCAACAAGCTCATCATCAGTAAAAGC